ATCCCTGAGTTTATAAATCTCCAGCCCTGAGATGAGCCAGATTCCTGTGAGTCACGCTGAACTCTGGTACATGTCACCTGGACACCCTACAGCACCAAGCACCCCAGCTGGCCCCAGCCCTTGGTCTCTAAACCTCTTCCTGTTTTAGCTGAGCCTGTCCAGGCAGTGGGAGCGTCAGGGAAGGCTGTTAGTGAGAAGGTGTGTCGGGGTCTGGGCTGTTTGTTTGGCCCTGCCACAGAGGGCAGATGTTGCCCCCATTTCTCGCTGGTCTCCAGGACATGACCAGGGCCTCAGTGGACATCACTCAGGGGTGGAGTAAAAAGTGGATCTGAGACTCAGAGGACTTGGTGTGAAATTGTGCTGTTTCACAGCAGTTCAGCAAAGGGATAAAGCAGGAGTGCAAGGGACAATCCTGATACTCCCCCTTTGACTCCCCCGTATGTGGGGGGCTTTCCCATGAACACCACCCCCTGCACTGGGCAGGCAGGGGCTGATGCTGAGCAGCCCACAGCTCTCTGGCAGCCAGTTGTGATAGGATTTTCCTGCAGGTTGCTCCTCACTGGCCACTTTTGTACATTTAAGTCTCAATGAGATTTTCCTGTTCTGAATGATTAATCTGGAGCAGCCAGCACTGGCTGAGCTGGGAAGGGTTGGACAAGGTTACAGCGGTAGCTCTGAGCCTGCTTCTCGTGGGACCAGCCCTGAATAGATGGCCCCAGTGAACCCTGCTACAGGCTCCAGCAAGCAAAGTCCCCAAATGCCTGTGCATGACCCCAGCACAGCCCTCTCCAATGTCCCAGCCAGCCTCTTAACTGTGCCTCAAGGACAAACCAGATCAATACTTTCCACTTCTAATCCATACAATCACGGGAAGAGCTGGGGTCAGAGGAGCAGGGAGATGGCAGCAGCAGCACAGTTCCTGAACATGAGGGATTGATTTTCTGGGGTCTTCATTCCCTTGCATCTCCCATATCTATTGTGTGCCCTTCCTGGGTCTCCTCTCCTCTGGGAGCACAGGCAGATTGTTCCCTCCTTGTGGGATGCTGATGAAATGCTCAGTGTCATGTGGAAAACCCTTCTCACTGCAGCTCAGCCTTGGCTCGTGGCCAGGCTCCATTAAGGGATGACGTGGTTCTGCGGCTGGAGAGGGGAGGCACAGGTGGCCTTGCAGGGAGATTGGGACCCAAAGCCAAGGACACAAATACCCACAATTCTTCCCAGACTGTGTGGAGAGCAAGAGAGGGGCCTGATCAGACTGGGATAAGTGAGGATGTTTTGGGAGGCTCATTCAGGTTGGTTTGGGTGTGCTGGTTGGTGTCAGAGTTCGTGGTGTTGCCCTTGAGGATGCTGCCTCCAGCCCTAGGAACACCCTGGACCCCAGAAGAGTTATCTGAATCCATCCTGCTCTATTCCTTGGTTCCTCATGGGTGCACTGATGGAGGCAGCAAAAGCCAACACAGATTTAAGCAAATCTTGATGTGATTCCAAGTTGCCTGAAAACCCTTTTTTCTCTCTTTCTCTCTCTTGATGAAGGTGATCACCATTTTCACGCTGGTGGAGGTGGTGCTGACGGCAGATGGTGGCCCCCTCAAGTACAGTGCCCTGCTCAAGAGGCCAAGCTTGGACAAGTGAGAGCCCTGGCTCTGTGTGCTCCCCACTGCTGATGCTCCTTTGCCTCCCAGGCCCTGCTCCGGCACCTGCTGGAGACAGAAGGGACCCACAAGGACTTTGGGGGTTTGAGTTTTAAAACCATTGTGGTTTTATTTCTGGTTTGGATTTTAACTCCGCCTGGGAGCAGGGCTCAGGGCTTGAGCCTGCCCCAGGCAGAACATTTCTACTACTGGGTATTTTTAGCATGATGCTTTCTTAATGTTTTTTTTTTTTTTTAAGGCTGTGGTGTCCATCTGCAGCTTCAGTGCCTGTGGTGAGGGCTGAGAGGGGATATGTGTCCCCAGGAGCAGAGAGGGGCGGGCTCCACCATCCCAGGTGGGATGTGAATGCAGTGGGATGCAGCCATGGGGCCATGCAGGAGGGTTTCTTGCAGCGTTGTGTGTCATGTAATAAAAGCTGGGTCGGCAACTGTGTGTGGATCTCATGCAGGTTTTATTTTATGTCCTCTGTGTTCCCCCAGCTGGGGCATCCCAGCAGTAACTCATCTCTGGGGAGCCCCCTGCCTTCCCCTGCCTGCCACTTCCCAGGCATTATGAAATCTGGCCTCACTGCCTGTCCCAGCATCAGATATGCTTGGCCAGAAGATGTGAGATCAGGGCAGGTGTTCCCAGCTCCTGATCCAGCAGGTATTCCCTTAGTCCCTCTGACTTCACCAGGAGTTCCTGTATGTCTGCTCTAGTCCCTCACACCATGGCCTCCAGCCTAACTCTGCTCAGGGACCCTATGGCACCATGTCCTTTAATCCAGCCCCTCACTGACCAACTGACCCCTGCCATCTGCAGCCACCTCTGCCTGCTTTCTATCCCCATGTCCCCCTCTGAGGATGTGTCGGGGGTGTGGGCTGCTCTGGCAGCCTCCACGTCGTCATCACAAGCAGTGGCTGGTAAAGGGATTGACATCTGGTAAGGAATGGATCCATTGTGCCAGGCAGGGAGGGAGCCCTGCATCACTCTGCCCCATCAGTGGCGGCAGCCATGGCTGGCACCAGCACCAGCACATCGGCCATCTGCAGGAGCCAGGAGCTGCCAAGCCTGGACTGCCTGGGTCAGGATGGGGGATGAGGGCTGGTACAGCACACTCCTAGGAGCTGATGAAGCCATCAATGACACCTGTAGTCCCCAGGACTTGTGCACATGCAGTGTCCTACCAGCTGGCCTGGTGCAATCATGGGTGGATGCCATCTGATGCTGGTGACAGAGGCTGTTCCCTGCCCACAGCAGCTGTGCAGGTGTGCTGGCATGGGCTGCCCCAGGGCACCCAGTATGTCAGGCACCAGCTGTCCCAGGAGCTGATAGGTAGCATGTGACTGCCGGGAGAGGGGACCGGAGGATGCTGACACCAAAGCCATGATGTCCATCCCCTACCCCTCCTCGGGTTTGTCTCAGGAGAAACCAGACAAATCCAGCCTGGCCCAGCTCAGCCTGTCTGCAAAAACAAGCCTTTGCCCTGCACTCTCCCTCCCACTCCCCGGGGTCCCGCAGGCAGCCGCCCCTTTGGGAGCTGGGGCCCAGAGGTGCCCTGCTTCTCAGGGACAGGCTGGAGGTCCTGCCTTGCTGGTGGGGGCAGGGATGGCCCCAGGGTGGGGCGAGGGCCTTGGGAGGGCTGGAGATAGTCCGTGAATGTTATCAGCCCATCGTCTCACGGGACAGGGAAGAGCCATAAAGGGCTGTCCCCTCGGCCTGGACTAAGGCAGCATTCCAGGAGGGAGCTGGGGTGGGCAACATGGAGCGGCCGCTTTCCCCTGGAACCTGCCTTCTCCTCTGCTTCCTCGCCCAGCTCGCCACTGCAGCCTCTGGTGACAGGGGACGTGTGGGACAGTGGGGTAAGAAACTCTGGTGGGGGATGTTGGGGCTGGTGTCACTTCCTTGGGGAACTCCAGGGACCATGTCACCTCCCCTTGGGATGCCAGCAAACGGGAACGCTCACAGCTACCTCAGGGTGCTCTGAGACCACAAGCTTTGAATGGATTGGTCTCAGCTTCCCCCCCAGAGCAGGTCCTGCCCCCCCACCCCAGTCCCTGCTGCTCCCAACCCCCATTCCTGACTTTGGATAAAGTGGCCCAAGAGCCACAGCCAGCCATGGTTACCCAGCCATTGCACTCACTGGGGCTGATCCTCAGGCTCCTCATCCACTCTGCCAAGAGGCACAAGGGACTTCCCTGCCAAACTGTGCCTCAGTTTCCCTTCTACATGTGGTTTCTGAACAATGCTGGTCTACAAAAGACCATGCTGGTCTCCAGGGGTTTCCTGGTCCTCCATGGCGAGGGTTTATAGCAGCTAAATTCACCTTGGGTAGAGATGGGCATGCTGGACCCCTGGGAGTGCACCTAGAAATTCCCAGCTCTGCTGACACCTCCAGATGCTGAGAAGACCCCAGGCTACTGGAATAAAGGTGCCAGGAGGAGGCTGGAGCTGGCCCTAGCCTTGCAGCCAGCAGCACAGCGGGCCAAAAACATCATCCTCTTCATGGGTGACGGTGAGTGCCCCGGGTCACTGCCAGGCCCTGCAGCTCCCCAACAGCCAGGGGATGCGGCTGATGAGAAGATGGGGCTGGGGCAAGCCCTTGGGCTGTGTCTGGAGAGCAGGGATGGCAGGGCTGTGCCTGGTCCAGCCCCCTGCCACCCAGTGACTCTGATGTGGCCGCAGGCATGGGGCTGTCCACCATGTCTGCAGCTCGGATCTACAAGGGGCAGCTGGCCGGCGGCTCAGGCGAGGAGAACGTCTTGGCCATGGAGACCTTTCCCCACGTGGCTCTGGCCAAGGTGAGAAGGACAGGGCTGGGGGGACACTCCTGCTACTCCTGCTTGAATCCCCACTGCACCCATCTCGCTTCCAGACCTACACCATCGACCGGCAGGTGCCCGACAGCGCTGGCACAGGCACCGCCTACCTCTGTGGGGTGAAGGCCAACGCCAAGACTCTGGGACTGAGCGGGGCAGCCGTCTATGGAAAATGCCGCACCACCTTCGGCAATGAGGTGGATTCTGTCCTGCACCGGGCCAGGCTGGCGGGTACGGGGCAGCAGGAAACCCTGTCGGAAAGCTGAGCACAGCCATCCAGTGCCGTGCAGGGCTGGATGGACTCCCTGTAAACCCTTGCCCACGCTGCAGGCAAGTCCGTGGGCATCGTGACGACCACGCGGGTGCAGCACGCGTCCCCCGGGGCAGCCTACGCGCACTCGGCCAGCCGGAGCTGGTACGCTGACGCCAACATGCCCACGGAGGCCCTGCGGGACGGCTGCAAGGACATCGCCTACCAGCTGGTGCACAACACTGACATCAACGTGAGCTGGGGAGCGGGAGCGGGAGGGAGGGGGCACCAGGAACGCTGGGAGGGTCTGCTGAGCTCCCTGGCAGGTGATCCTGGGCGGCGGGAGGATGTACATGACCCCCAAGCAGACTCCGGACCCTGAGTACCCAGAGGACCCGGATCAAAATGGCACCAGGAAGGATGGCCGGGACTTGATTGCTGAGTGGCTGAGTGCCAAGCAGGTAGTGTGCAGGGGAAGAGGAAATGAAACTCTGGGCACAGGGTGTGTGCCATTGGCACTGGTTCTGCTCTCACTGGCAGGGTGCCCGCTATGTATGGGACAAGAAAGGCCTGGATGCGGTCAAAGATGACTCTGTGAGCCACCTTATGGGTAGGAGCATCACTGGCTGCACCAATGGCAATGCTTCCTCCTCCCCTCTCTGGATGTGTCAGCAGGGGCACAAAGCAGCCCCATCATGGACCCTCTTACCCTCCTCCCCCAGGCCTCTTTGAGCCCAAGGATATGAAGTATGAGCTGAACCGCAACACATCCACAGACCCCTCCATTGTGGAGATGACGGAAAAGGCCGTCCGCATCCTGCGCAGGAACCCCAATGGCTTCTTCCTCTTTGTGGAAGATGAGTAGCTCCAGGCGGGCAGTGTGGCTGGGGCTGAGGTGGGATGTGGCTCCTGGGAGCAGGTGGCTATCCAAGGGGACCAGGGAAAGGGTGACAGCCACATTCCCCATGCAGGTGGCAGAATCGACCATGGCCACCACAGTGGCCGGGCCAAGCAGGCGCTGATGGAGGCCGTGATGCTGGACCGGGCGGTGGCACGGGCGGGAGAGCTCACCTCCCCTGCTGACACCCTGACCGTGGTGACGGCCGATCACTCCCATGTCTTCACTTTTGGGGGCAGCACACCACGTGGCAACTCCATCTTTGGTGGGTCCTGCAGAGGGGCAGTGAGCATCCCTCTTACCACCTCACCCTGTTGCTACCACAGGAAGCTGAGCTTGCCAGACAGGGAGCTGGGGAGGGGTACCCAGGGGGTGACAGTGTCTTTCCCTGTGCCAGGGCTGGCCCCCAAGAAAGCCAAGGACAAGCGAGCCTACACCAGCATTCTCTATGGCAATGGTCCTGGCTACAGCATCCGTGATGGGGCCCGTCCAGCTGCCAGCCTCCCTGCTGCAGGTACCAGTCTGCTGGGATGTGGCACAGCCATGGGGTGGCTGGGGACAGTTTCCCAGTGAGTCTGCTGGAGACTGGGTGGAGGCACAGGGTGGCTGCGGACAGTGTCCAGCTGGAATGGCCATGAATGCCACACAGGGTCTGGGTGTCACTGTGAGGCTCAGGAGTCACCCACTGCAGAAATCATGCTGATGCAGGAGTGATGGGAACTGTGCCCCCACCCCTGTAACATGTCAGGGATCCAGACCCACAGCCTCATTTCTCCTCTTCCCCCTGCAGAGGACAAGGACTACAGACAGCAGGCAGCTGTGCCCCTGGAGACAGAGACTCACAGTGGGGAAGATGTGGTGGTGCTGGCCCAGGGCCCCATGGGCCACCTCTTCCACGGGGTGCAGGAGCAGCACTACATCGCCCATGCCATGGCCTACGCTGCCTGCCTCGAGCCCTATGCCACAGAGCCTGGGTGCAGGGCAGCCCGCAGGGCCTCCCATGGCACACGCTGCTCCCCACAGCCCCTGCTCGCCCTCCTGGCCCTCTGCATGGCTGCCCTCACAGTGAGGGGCTGAGAGGCTCTGCCTGAGTCCCACTGGGGACAGGACCAAGGCATGCAATAAACACAGGCTGTTTTTTCTCCATCCACGGTGTCGAGGGTCACAGCGGCTATCACCTCCTGACATGCTACCCTGTGCCTGCCTCCACAGTTGCTGTGGCTCCTGGTTCTCCCCTGGGACCAGCACTGGAGGCACTGGGGTGCAGGAGATGATGAAATGTCCCTGAGGGGAGGCAATGTCCTCCCCAGCTTTGCCTGGTTGGAGCACGGTACACACGGGTTGGTACATGCCTATAGAGGGCTGAGCAAGGAGCACAGTTTTAGTCTGCATCCATGGATTTACTGCTCATGGAAGCCTGGGAAGAGAGCAGGGTGCTCGGTGCACGAGTGAGCCCAGGTGCTCCCCATGCCCACCATTTTCCAGGTCCAATGCTCAGAGCTGCCCATGGCACCCCGGGACAGTGCATTGCCCTGCCTGGCACCACAGCACCGTGGCCAGGGCGGGATTTCCTTCCAGCACTGCACTTCCTCTTGTCCCTGCATCTGTCTGTGCCCCAAGCTCGTCTGTGCCAAGCACGGACAGGGCGCTGTGCCAAGGAGGTGACATCGGCCCAGGCCCACGGCCTTTGCACTCAGCCGAGATGTGGAGAACCCCTCCACACACCCTGCTAGGGCTGGTCTGCGTCCAAAGTCCCTCCCATATCTGCTGGATTTACAGGCACTGCCAGCAGCATTGGCCTGTCAGATCTCAGCATGCAGCTCCTGGCATCCCTCACCCTCTGCCTCTGCGCGGGGCTCAGCACCGCTGTCATCCCAGGTGGGGACAAGGATGGGCATGGGCGCCTGGCTGGCTGCGATGGGTGTCCAGGGAAGCAGGGTGTCAGCCTGGCTGGCCACAAGGAGGGCTTGGGGATGGGACCTGGGGCTGCCCAGCTGAAGAAGAATTAGTGGGGGTTAGTTGGGCCTGCTCTTCTCGGGGTTTGGATCCATTTTCCCCCCAGGCTTTTGCTTGCTTCTGTGCTGGGGCCTGGTCTGGGGGAAGTGCCTGTATCCTCTATCTCCACTTCCTACCATGGATTTGGCCCCACCCCACTCACCGGATAACTTCCCATGATGTCTGGTTTTGCTGGCCCCCCTTGTTCCCTGCCCCAGGAGCCTGGGGCCAGGCAGTCGGTGCAAGCCTGCCTGGTCTCTCCCCTCCCCAAAAAGCCCCCTGAACCACCTGGTCCGTGGGACAGGAGGCCCCAGCATGGGAGTGCCCAGGGAACGAGGGATCCCTGGCTGTGGGTGCCCTTCAGGGATGCCCCAGGGATGCTTGGGCTGTTGTGCTGGGACTGATGGGTGTTTGCACTGTCCCAGCGGAGGAGGAGAATCCATCCTTCTGGTACAAGCAGGCAGCTGCAGCCATCGATGCCTCCTTTAAAACCCAGCCCAGGATACGGGAAGCCAAAAACCTCATCATTTTCCTTGGGGACGGTGAGTCCAGCTGGCACCCCAGCAAGCAGGCTGACATGGCCAGAACTCTGCTGAGCAGGATGTGTGAAGGGCACCTGGTCCAGAGGGTGACCAGGACTCTCTCTCTGCCCAGGATTCGGGGTCCCCAGCATCACAGCCACCCGCATCCTTAGGGGGCAGCAGAAGGGGAAGCTGGGCCCTGAGACCCCTCTTGCCCTGGATGCCTTCCCCTATGTGGCTCTGTCTAAGGTAAATTCCAGCATGCAGGAAAGGGGCCATGGTGATCCTGGGCATGAGGCAATGGTGATCCTGGGCACGGGGCTGCTGGCAGCCCAGGGCTGCACGTACATTGTGCATGGGGTCTCTCCCCACCCCACACATGCCCATGGATGAGTGAATCAGCATGGCATGGGGTGCTGGGGGAACACCCCACTGGGGACCCCAGCCCTGAGTCCTTCTCTCCTTGGCAGACCTACAATGTGGACAGGCATGTCCCCGACAGCGCGGGGACAGCCACAGCCTATCTCTGTGGGGTGAAGGGCAACTACAAGACCATAGGGGTGAGCGCGGCCGCCCGCTTCTCGGAGTGCAGCACCACGGCCGGCAATGAGGTGATCTCCGTGCTGGAGCGAGCCCGCAAAGCTGGTAACGGGGGAGGCAGGGCTGGGGGGACCCTGTGGGGACAAGGGGTGCCCCACTGGGAGCTTTCCCCTCATGAGCATCCCATAGCTTGGTGGTGGGGACCCCGTGTTGCCCTTGGTGGGGCCTGATGAGCGGGGTCTGGCAGGGAAGGCAGTGGGCGTTGTGACCACGACACGGGTGCAGCACGCGTCGCCCTCGGGAACCTACGCTCACGTGGTGAACCGGGACTGGTACGCGGACGCCAGCATGCCCCAGGAGGCGCGGCTGCAGGGCTGCAAGGACATCGCCTGGCAGCTGATCCACAACGTCGACATCAACGTGAGTGTCCGTGCACGGGAGGAGGAGAGCAGGGACAGACCCCCTCCCAGGGCACCCCCACTAACACTTCGTCCACCTCATCCCCTCCAGGTGATCCTGGGAGGGGGTCGGATATACATGACCCCCGTGGGGACGCCGGACCCCGAGTACCCTGCCGACAGCAGGCAGAATGGGATCCGTGAGGATGGGCACAACCTCATCAACATGTGGCTGGAGGCACGGCCGGTGGGTGCTGCATCGGGGCCGCTCCTCTGCCCACTGCCCCGGCACAGGGCCAGGCACCCACTGACCCCCTAAGGGATTTGCCCACAGGGTGCCCGCTATGCCTGGAACAGGACAGAGATGCTGGCTGCTGCCGCCGACCCCAACGTGAAGTATTTGATGGGTAACAAATGACCCCTGTGCCTGGACCCAACAGGCGTTGGGACACACAGGCACTGATGTTGTCCCCAACACATTCCCTCACAGGTCTCTTTGAACCTGTGGACACGAAGTACAACCAGGTGCGTAACACCACCCTGGACCCGTCACTTACTGAGATGACAGAGGCAGCCATCACCATCCTGAGCAGGAACCCCAAAGGCTTCTACCTCTTTGTGGAAGATAAGTTGGGGCTCATGCCCCTGGGGCCAGTGAGAGGGGGGTGTAGGCTGGGGTGTGTCCCCAGCCCACTGTGGGTGCCAATCTGCAGGTGGCAGAATAGACCGTGGCCACCATGAAGGTTCACCCCATAAGGCACTGACGGAGGCAGTGGAGTTTGACCAGGCCATTGAGCGGGCAGGAACCATGACAGATGAGGCTGAAACCCTCACCGTCGTCACAGCTGACCACTCGCACGTCTTCACCTTTGGTGGCTACACCCTGCGTGGCTCCTCCATCTTCGGTGGGGTTCTGCCCTGTCCTGGGGACTGCCACCCTGTGGCACCCTGACTGTGTCGGGCAGGATGATACGGGTGTTCCGTGGCTGATCCTCCTCCTCCTCTTCCTCCTTTTCCTCCATTTTCCCTCCCTAGGTCTAGCGCCGGCAACAGCCAGTGACAGGAAGAGCTACACATCAATCCTCTATGGGAATGGGCCAGGATACCCTGGCCCTGACCGGCCCAGCGTGGACCCAGCCACAGCAAGTAAGGGCACAGAGACCATGGCTGGGAGGTGGGGTGTTGCTGAGGGCCATCACTGTCCCCCCTCACATCTTTCTTTTCCCTCCCCAGTGCAGTTCGATTACCAGCCACAGGCGGCTGTGCCCCTGGAGTCAGAGACCCATGGTGGTGAGGACGTGGCCATCCTGGCCAAGGGCCCCATGGCCCACCTCTTCCACGGGGTGCAGGAGCAGACCTATGTAGCTCACGCCATGGCCTACGCCGCCTGCATCGAGCCCTACACTGACTGCCGCCAACGGGACTCTGCCCCTGGCATCCGCGCCACCCCCCTGGCCCTGCTCCTGCCTGCCCTCCTTCTGCCCCTCTTCCGCTGACCCCATGTCCCCAGGGCACCCCACACGGCCTCCCTCCCCATGCTGTGGCACGTGTTGGCAGCTTTCTGAAGCACCCCTGGTGTGGATGCAGCAGCCACGGGGACACCGAATCGCGTGCAGTGGGGTGATCAATAAACACACAGTGTGACCCTGTGGGAGAGGCGTGTTGGTGCAGTGGGAGTGCCTGTGCCACGTGGGCAGGGCTGGGGGTGCTGCCCACTGCCCCCATTCCCTGGCCATGGCCCCTGGCAGCCACCCAGCATATCCAGTGCTTTATTGACCAGAATCAGCAGAAAAAAATACAGCAGTGTCTGTGTGCATGTGCTCCTGGGCAGGCTGGCACCGCCCGGCCCAGCTGCGCCACTGTGCCCCACCTCGGCGGGGCTGCTGCATGGACAGGAGGGGGCTGGCACGGGGAGGAGGGCACCGTGCAGGGGAGGCTTTTGGCATGGGGCAGGCCCTTGGGAACTCTGGAGTCCTCCCCCTGCCTTGACTGATGCTGGGATGGATGTGGTAGGGCTGGGTGAAGGGTTTGGGCTAGGTGGACAGAAAAGGGGGCACAGGGGTGCCTGGGCGTGCCCTTGTTCCTCCATGGAACAAGGTGTTCCTCAGTGTGCAGGGCAGCGGATGGGAGGTGGATGGGCAGGAGGCAGCTGCCCAGCCCGAGTGTCTCTGCTGCCTACACCCCTAGGGCAGTGCCTGCCTTTGGCGTGACCCCCCGTGACACCCCTTTACCTGGACAATAGGAAGAGGAGATGGGAAGTTGGGCAGTGGGCACAGGGTGTCACTTAGGCAGGGGAGGGGATGGAGGGTCCCAGCCTGCTGGAGGGGGATCGGCCTCACCACACTGAGCACTTGTGCACTGGGTTCATGGGCGAGTTCTTGGGGCAGTGGAAGGCCCATCCAAACTCCTCAAACTGTGGGACACTGCCCAGGACCCTGCCGGGAAAGGGAAGATGTGGTCCAGCAAGTGCTTCCACTTGAGCTGCCAGGGCAGGCACTGAATGGGCATGCGGACCCCCACTCCATGCCACCCTGGAGGGGACCCCCTCCAGGCTTTCCAGCCTCCAACCAGGCAGCAGGGCAGGATGCCCCCCACTGTCCTATATCACCCCAGTGCCCAGCGCTGCTGGCAGTGAGGTGCCCTCTGTCTGCCAA